GGGCCAGGGCCTTCCAACATGACTCAGCTCTCCCCTTAAGCCTCCTCCTCCTCCTCCCCAATTCCTGGGTCTTTGCAGTTTGGAAAAAGTGCAGAGAAGAGCAACTAAGATGTCTAAAGGTCTGGAGACTAAAACAAATGGAAGAACGGTTGCAGGAATTGGGTGTTGTGGCCCGCCAGTGGAGCTGGCAGCAGATTCTGACAGTGAGGAGGTTGTGGAGGAACATGGGCCAGTCCTGGAGTCTTTGGAAGGCTCTGAGGAGGGCTCTGTGTCGGAGATCAGTGAGGCAGAAGAACAGCTGGAGCCTGTTCCCAGTGTGCGCATGGGCAGAGTTGCCAGACGAAAGGAAAACAGCTAAGGAACAAGGGTCGACTTGAGAGTAAGGCCACAGGTGGACGGTGAATGGCCCCTCCCAGAGATAAATAAAAGAGGAGTGAAAGGGGAGTGGAGTTTCCAGGAGACAATTGGTTCATTCCTGCATTCTTGCCAAGTATTGCGGTGTCTGAAAGATCTCGGCCTGGCCACTCTCCGAGCCTGATAAAAGTAGGTAATTGTGAGCTATTTTGAAAGACTGTGGGCTGGGACACAGAGAGGAATTCACTGTTGATTAAATAAAAGGGATTTATCGGGACGAGGACTCGGCTTCGTGTTGCTGGGAAAGCCTGGGCCAGAACCGCCATCTTAGCAATGTTCTCAACTCCAAAGAACAACACTTCTGAAAGATTATCATCAGAAATCACAGAAAGAATCCCTTGCCAGCTAGGAAACTGGAAAAAACTGGAGGCTTCAGAAATCTCCTGTCAAAAAAAATCAAATTGTTCTGAGCCTCAGGATGAGGGCAGGAGATCCTCCGGAGTGGAATTAGCACACAAATGCACTCAAACAAGGATATATTGTTCCAATTGTCTACTTTGGCTGAGCTAATAGATTTCACTTCAGGCACATTCGAAACTCATTAAAGTCGCAACGCTTGCCCAGTCACGAAAGTTTATTTTAATAATAGTTTAATGCCATTGTTCAGGTGCCAAAGGGCGTGTCCTGAGACCATCGCGATCTGGAATTAATTTGTGTGGTGGATTAAGGTGGTGGTCCTTAACGGTTTTATATGGGGTTCGACAGTTTAGACCAGAGTTCGGCAACCTTAAACACTCAAAGAGTCACAAAAGTCCTAACCGGAAGCCCCCCATTCAATTCTGGAGCCAACCGGAAGTCCGGTTTCCCCACCATAGAGTCTCCTCCTAGCGCAGCGTCCTTTTTCCTCTACCTGTCCTAACCAAAATCCTTATCAATTGCGGAGCTGACCAGAAAACCCAACCCTTGCCTGGTACGCCCTGCTTCCCTCCCCCAAACCGGAAGCTCCTCTCAAAATTGGGGTGCCGACCGGTGATAGGGAGCCGCAGCAGAGGGATGAAAGAGCCACATGCAGCTCCAGAGCCGTGGGATGCTGCCCTTCAAGGATAGCCAAAGGTGGTTGGACGATTCCTTGGTGAACTTCGGATTTCTCTCTCTTCCTTCTTTCCTTTTTCTCTGGGCCAGGAGGGGCACTTGAATCAAAACGATCTGGGCTTGAATCAAAAAGGAAGAAAATACCGAGCTGCCCTCCAGCCCCATGATTTAAACCAGCAGCCGAATCGAAGGCGAAGCATTACTCACGCCGAGATTCAAAAAATGTCGTCAACCTGGAAAGGACTTTTTTCCAGGAACACCCGTGTTCTTACTTCATTGCCAGAAAACAGCCAATTAATAAGCAATTTTGCAACCTGTAATTGAAAGCGTTCTTCCCTTTTAAAAAAAAGAGAAAACCACAAAAGCCCAGCTTTTGTGAACGTGGGTGGTTTTTCCTCACGGTGGTATATCAACTTGGTGGTTATAATAGAGTCGGGGTGTTGAAAAAAGCCAGAGTCAGAATGGATGATGAGCAAAGAAAGGAGAAGAGACCAACAGGAGGACTATGCTGTCCCACAATGGGGGGGATGGGGGGTTTCTGGCCATGGGAACTCTCCATGGCTGCCAAGATGACTCAGCCCCCTTCATCCTTGGCTGTGGGGCAGCCTTCTGCCTCCTTATTTGCACTTTTTAGTTCCTCAGCAGCCAGCCTTCATCGGCCCACGGGAAGACTTTTTAACCTTCCAAGGAATTTAAGGCGTTGCATGCACTTCAGGTTGAACCAACAGGTAAAGTTCTGAAGGCATGTTGGCTTGGGCTCAAGAAATCAAGCCAAGCTTGTTGTACTGGACGTGTTCTTCAGTCAACTGAAGTCTCCTCGTGGGTCATCAAGAGGCAGGTGTCCCTCCCCGCAGGCCTGTTCCTCTCTTTCCCATGCTTTCGTCCATCACCACCTCGCCTCGTGGAGGAACTCGACATGACTGACAGCCATCTCCGAGCGTCATTGGAGACACCCTTGGATCAGAAGGAAGTGAGCTCTGACGAAATCCCGTCTTGGCCCTCATCCAAGACACAAGGATCCACATCCGCCCTTAAAAACAGACCAGTGGGTACCTTCTTTGGGGAGACGGCTTGACTGTTGAAAGTGGGCAGGTGGCGGCCAACCCAAGACCAAGATTCAGAAGGAAGGGTGGTCCTCCCAGTGAGAGAGGCAGAGAAGAAGGAAAATCCAGCTTAGAAGATGAGAGGTTGTTGGGTGAATTGAGGTCCAGCATTTCACTCAATGGGGTTGTTGCTGTTTTTGCTTGACAGATCAAACAGGTAAGGGGAAGCCTCCATTCCATTCCCAGCTCCTGGGATCAAAATGCATCAAAGTAGACCCAGGCCCGGATCCTGAAGGGGTGTTATGACCTAGATCATGATCCCAAGATCACGAAGCCAACTCCTCATCCCGATAAAAACCCCTTTATTTAGGTTAAAGGGAATTCCTCTCCAGCAAAGTCCCAGCCAACAGTCCTTCAAGAGATTTCACAACTGCAGACCTTGATCAGGCTTGGAGAGCTGCCAGGCCGATATCTTCCAAACGCCACTCTGTAGGAGCAATTACTTGGCAAGAGGTCAGGAACAGATCTTCACTCTAAGGAATTGAACTAATTGTCTCCTGCAACCTCCTTTCCCCTTTCGCTCCTCTTTATTCCCTGTGCGAGGGGGCCATTCACCATCC